ACAGTCTATGGTTTAACCCTGCGAGTGCAGGTTGCGGACACAGGTCCGCGTTAGGTTTAACCCTGCGAGTACAGGTTGCGGCCAGTGGGTCTGCGTCATGTTAACCCTGCAGTGCAGGTTGCGGCCGTAGGTCCGCGCATGTCTAACCCCGCAGCCCGGAAACGATTCCGGCGCTCATCACGTCCCCATGTTAATCTCTCATTTCATCCATAGATCTCCGCAGCCAGCCGCAAGGTAAGAATTGCTCACAGCTCCGTACTTCATACTTCACTTCTTTTGGGGGTTCATCAGAGCGGTTCTTTCTCTCCTGAATGATCATCCTGCAAACCCGGGGCCTAATCGCCAAAACATCATTACAGTTACCTGTTGTAATACGTCAATCACTATTCCCGCATATCATGTGTCCCGATAATAAACATGTACTCATACATCACGTCTCTCCTGATTGAACATTTGTCAGCGAGGATTGACTCACATGCACAATCTCAAGTCCATGTCGGAGCGTGTGTCATATATGAACAGTGGAAGAGAAACGGGAGAATGGATGCAAACATGGAGAGGAATGCAAGGAATGCTACTAATTACTGGAGACAGGTACTTGAGCATATTGTCAACGATACAATTACTCTGGCCACTTGTAACTTGACTTTTAGAGGACATACATAAAGAGCTGCTGATTTGAAAAAACAAACGTGAGAGACGGCTGAGGTGACCGCAGTGCAGAATCGCTGTAGTTTAAATCTCCTAACAATGTTGTCCATTTTAGACATAGGCTTATTATATTTACAGACCTTAATAACATTCATTTTCTGGGCTAAAACCTTACACCCTATAGGTGTAAGGTTTCTGGGCTCCATGAGTTTCGCCCCGCACCTCGCTCCAATGACTATTAGATTATTTAGTAAGGTAAAAAACAAAAAGCAAAAACGCTTCTCAGACGCTCTTCCGTTTACTTTTTTAATAAAGAAAAACAAATGGTCCAAAGATACACGGATTCATCTCCCTCCATCGTGTTGATTTGAATCCGAAATTCTGAACATGAGCCCGCCCCGCTCGACCTTCTGAGCCAATCACAGCGCGATAATGACCTGCCTTCCATTTCAACTATACTCCTTCCGTTTCCACACATACATACATTATTCTCTTGCATACATACAGTATATTGTCTTCAGACATGCATATATTATTTATAATATTAAATGTAAACATTGAATGAATGTAAGTTAACTTACCCTTAAAAAACTACATCACGTTTTTCAGGGGAAACACAAACTGCAGAAAACTTTAGCTGCTAACTGTTGTTAGCTAAGACAGCTAGCCTCCTAGCAAACATAAGGTTAAGTTAACATTAACGTAACGTTGTAAGAAAGCAAACCGAACCTTCGAGAAATCTTTTACTCTCAGACTTGGTGAAATTGTGTAGTGTTGCTTCCCTCCAGAAGGACTTTAAGCGTGTTTCCCAGTAGACAGAGCTGTCAGAGCGGTGCCTCTGCCAGCAGCCGTTGGGCGGAGTCACAGAAACGTTCAACTGATCTTCACAACCTGATCTCACCAGAATGCGTGACTCCACCACGCAACCTTAACACCGCATTGCGTGGTGGAGTCACGCATTCTGCTATATTTACGTGTCGGCACCACGCAAAAAAACCCAATGTAAAGTGAATGAGGCTCTTTTGTCGTGGTGCACACACGCATTTCTACAACGTCCCGCAGTGAGCTTTTATGCTATAAAACGTTTTTTAAATCTACTTTATAGCTTGTAGTAACTCACAGGAGGCTTCTTTTATTTTATTTGTATTCATAATAATTTTTATTTGTCGTCAGAATGTATTATGGTGCATTAGTCACACATTTTTGTTCTCAAAAAACAGTGCATTGTGTGTAATACAACTGTGATTTTTATTAAATTAGTTAGTTTTTAAGGAAGGCCAGAGCTTCAGCTGTGTCAATAGATTGTTCCCTTTAGTTAACGTTATTTAAAAGATAATGATCATGTCCCCTTTATTGTATTACGAGCATCCATTCCCATTGGATAACGGAGAATTTTACACCCGGAAGTAAGTATTCTCCTTACTGTCGATTGATTTTACAGTGATATCTGAACTACTCATCAACTCAAAAACACCAGATTATCCTTGTTAATTACACAACATTGATTGGTTTAAATTGTGTACAATGCTTTTGTATTTTTCCCCTTCGATTCGGAGAAACAAATATTTGTTCGGAGTTTTTGGATGGCAGAAGACACTACACTACCCAGAATCCTCAGCTATCGTTTGGGACTACACCATGTGCTCTGTTTGACAAACCCCGTGATCAGTCCTCAAGCTATAAAGTAGATTTTAAAAACGTTTTATAGAATAAAAGCTCACTGCAGGACGTTGTAGAAATGCGTGTGTGCGCCACGACAAAAGAGCCTCATTCACTTTACATTGGGGTTTTTTGCGTGGTGCCGACACGCAAATGTAGCAGAATGCGTGACTCCACCACGCAATGTGGTGTTAAGGTTGCGTGGTGGAGTCACGCATTCTGATGAGATCAGGTTGGATCTTCAATACCGCTTTGTTTCAACCACTGCCGTCTCGCCGTTCCCCTGTGTTCCGCCCTCTCTCTCTGTCTGTCTGTGTCTGTTTCAGTTTCACCAGCATAGACCAGCTAAAACCAGCACAGACCAGCATGACATCCATGCTGGTTTAGCTGATATGAGAGAGAGAGAGAGAGAGAGAGAGAGAGAGAGAGAGAGAGAGAGAGAGAGAGAGAGAGAGAGAGAGAGAGAGAGAGAGAGAGAGAGAGAGAGATAGAGAGAGAGAGAGAGGAGAGATAGATAGAGAGAGAGAGAGTAGAGATAGAGAGAGAGAGAGAGAGATAGAGAGAGAGAGAGAGAGAGAGATAGAGAGAGAGAGAGAGACACAGACACAGACACAGACACAGACACAGACACAGACAGACATGTTTTCAAGAACCATTGAACAGTGCTGCCACATATGACACAGGGAAAAAAGAAAAGACACTGAACCCTTTCTTTGCCATTAAAATTAGGCTTACTAATAAGACAACTCAGATCTGAAGCTACTCAGGAATCTGCTGCCAAAGTGTAATAAAAAAGACACAATTAATAGAATCAAACCCTTTTTTTGTTGCATTTTAGTAGAGTATACAAATAAATGCCTTTAATAGGATGCAAGCAACACTAGTTTCTTAACCTGAATTGATAATAGACTATAATCAATTTAAACAGAACAGATCTTAATGTTTGCATTATTATACCATTTTGTACAATAAATATAATGAATAAGTTCAAACAAACTAAAACTTACAGCTGATTAATAACGGTATCTAACTTGAGTTTTTATTATATCAAAAACCTGTTGAAATACTACTGTTATTTTTACTGTCCCCCAAAAGCGCGTCGGCAGCCTCCAGGAATGCTTCTTTCACAACTTCGCCGTCTTTGAAAGACTTCATGTGTTTCGCAAGAACGTGACTGACACGATAAGATGCTATGGTAGCAGCCTTGCTCTTGTTGTTGGCCTGGTGAAAAGGGACTGCTGTGCATTTAGCTGTCCTTTCAGGCCCCTCCCCTTTTGGGAGCGTAGGGCAGAATTAGGAGGGAATTCCGTCTTGTAGCGTTTGTGCACTGTTTTGAAATGCCGCTCCTAAATTATCCTTCTTCAATAAAGCCACGCTCGCATTGCAGATGAGACAGATGGACTTTGAATTGCAATAGATACAAAAATAATCATCCTCCCACTCGGAGTGAAAATTATATATTTTGGGCTTTTTTGCTTCTGCCATAATTGCGGTCTTGTGAGTGAGTGTGTGGACTGTCACTCCTGTTGACACGGACAACGTCAGCCAACTAGTGCCCACTGCCCACCAGCCACGCCCCGACACATGGGGTCACGCCGGCCAATCAGAAAGCTTTGATGCGTTCACGTGCATTATTCTGGCACAGGAAGATTATGTTATAGGACATTAACGATAAAACAGAATATTGTTGTTCTATTTTTAGACACATCTCGTGATCGACTGAGAATCTCCCCGCGATCGACCGGTCGATCGCGATCGACTGGTTGGGCACCCCTGGTCTAAGTCATCTCAGTGGGTCTCCAACGGTTTGGTCATCTATGTAAACAAATATTTCCATCTAGGCCTATGTAATATTAGTTGTACAAAATAAGTTAAGAAATCCTTCCAATATAGGTCAGTAACAAATAAAAAACACAGTTTAAAAGGGGAGTGATTAGTCAAATATGCATAAATAAAAAGAAAGAATGCAGACTAGGTAAGATACAGATAGGAGAGAGGAGTTTATCAAATATGAGTTGTGAGCATATTCTAATGATTTTTTTATTATTTACATATACAGTTCTTTTTCATATGAGTGTTGAGAGCTGTATCCATACATCTCTTCATTTTTCCCTCAAAGTGCACCAGATTGATGCATTCAACTTCAATTTAAAGAAAGAAATCTTCCCGGGGGTGTGAGGTCCACCAAAAAATAAATCAGGTTCACATGGATAGGATACTAGATCGGTTAAAAGCAGAGAACAAATGTCACTCTGTGTGCTGTGTGCTCTGCATGTGTGACCATTAAAGAGGGTTTCATTCCTTCCTTAATTATATTCTATAAATCTGCACACTCATCTTCTTAACACTATAGTCCCTAATATATTTGTAGAAAGGCAGGAAATTGAATTAAATCGAGAAAATGTTTCATTGTGGAGGACCCCCTGTTTTGTGTCCCCCCCACTTCTCAAACCAAAGTTACACCCTTGCACATACATGTCCTTCTGTGAAAAGATAAGAAAGACAAACTCTAAAGACCGAAATCAGGAAGCTTGGGGTGGAACAACCAACACTAAAATAGATATACTTTATATTATCTAAGAGGATTTAACATTTTCTTTTATCTATTTATTTTTTTGGGTAGATAATTCTGGTTCACACTCCAATACAGTAGGTGGCGGTAATGCCTAAACGCTGGTTGCCACCCGCAATAAAGCCGTGAGAAGAAGAAGAAGAAGAAGAAGAACAACAACATGAACAAGATGAAGAAGAAGAGCAGCAGCTAGCATGGACGCCGTGTCGCAGCGAGTGTTGGAGCACCTGACGGAGGTGGAGGAGGCCGCGGAGGAGGTGCTCAGCACCAAGCAGCAGGTAACTGAGAGCAGACACGCAAGACCCGGATGTTAGCCCTGTCTGTGGTCCACAGGGCGCTTTTCTTCAGCCACATGTACGGTGTCACAGATCACAGGTTAGATGGAGAACATGGAACAGGTGGAGAAATTACTTTACTTGGAAGCTTCAATTCGGCTTGCCACTTGATTTGACTGCATTTTATAGGAACTGTCTCTTATAAATAGTCCACCCTAGTTCATAAATCCAGAGGTGGAAAAAGTACTCAGATCTTGTACTTGAGTAAAAGTAGAAGTACTCAGATCTTGTACTTGAGTAAAAGTAGAAGTACTCAGATCTTGTACTTGAGTAAAAGTAGAAGTACTCAGATCTTGTACTTGAGTAAAAGTAGAAGTACCAGAGTGTAGGAATACTCTGTTACAGTAAAAGTCCTGCATTCAAAATGTTCCTCAAGTGAAAGTAGAAAAGTATTCTCATCAAAATATAGTTAAAGTAGCAAAAGTAAAAGTAGTCATTCTGCAGATTGGTCCATTTAAGAATAATATATGATATGTTTTATAATTATTTATGCATTAAAGTGTTATCAAAGCTGGTTCAGGGAGCACTTGATTTGATAATCAGCAGGCAGGGAGCACGACCATACAGCAATATTGGCATCGCTAGACCCATGGCAATATTACAGCAGTTTCACTGTTAAATGTTTATTTTATACTAAATGTGTGTGTAACTATTAAGCTCCACATGACCAGAGGAAGTTTCTAACTTGATGTTACAGGTGGTGGAGCTGGACAGCAGGAGGAACAGGAACAGAGAGGCTCTGAGCGCGCTGAGGACAGAGGACACGGGTGAGACATCTGGGCTCAAACATTCATGATGTTAGGGAGGTCGTATACAAAAACTCACTGTGGATATAAGTATCGATGTTGAATCAAAACTGATGTCATTTGCAGAGAAAGTGAAGGTTTGCTTAGGAAACATGTTCATCAAACTTCCCAAACTGAAGACTAGAGAGATGATTCAGAAAGGTAAGAAAAAGGGAGTTTGGAAATCAAAATTGACCAGATACTGAATATCATGTATTTGAATATAAATATATCTGCGGTGCACATATTGTGGATACATAACTTCATCCTAAACAGTTTGTTTGTCACCTGTAGACCAAGAGCAGCTGGACAAGGAGATAAATGAGCTTCGTAAAGGACTGAAGGCTAAAGTCAACCGTCTGAATGAGCTGCAAGGTACCTGCCCCCCCTCTGGCCCTGTGACTCTTTTACAGAATACACTTTCTCACTTAATGCTGAGAGGATACTTAAGAACATATCTAGGATTAAAAGACTAATGTCACAGCAGGATTTGGAAAAACTTGTCCATGCTTTTATCTTCAGTAGACTGGACTACTGTAATGGTGTCTTCACAGGTCTCACTAACAAATCTATTAGGAAGCTGCAGCTGATTCAGAACGCTGCTGCTCGAGTCCTCACTTATGGCGCATTTCCACTCCATCGCGGAGCTCGCTTTAAGCGTGACGTGCCCGGCCCGTTTTTGGTTGCGTTTCCACTTGGGGTAGTACCGGCTAGCGGGTACTATATCACAGTTTTTCTGGCCCCATAAAATCGAGGTTCTTTCCGGGCCAACAACCAGGCTGAGTCGGGCTGAGTATGCTAAACTAGAGAGAGAATCGCTGGCAACTACAAAAAAAGAACATATTTGACTGTGATTTAATTGTAACAACATACTGATACCGGTTAGTAAAAACCATGAATTAATGCTTTGACAAGTCTGCAGACAGACGGCAGGCGAAAAACCTTTTAAAATGCGTGTTTTCTAAATGGAGCTTGGCTAAGCTAACGTTATTTATGCTCCGACCGTCCACACTCACAACAACGGCCTATACAGACATAAATAAGCCAGCGACTGTATTCGCCATGACACAGGCAGTCTGTGGTTTGTACTCGTTTAACTTTTGTCTAGTTTCTGAACAGATATGAGGAGCTGTGAGCTCTGAGTGCTAAGAGCTAACGGCTGTGTTGTTTTTCTGGGGCTCTCATTGAAGATGACGTCACGGCTCCGCCTACACTGCGTTACTATAGTTACTGCCCCAGTTCCTAAACTGTAATGGAAACGCAGCATAAAGTGAGCCAATGCCGTAACCATGCCCAGGTCCAAATGGACCAATCCGTGGAGCTCCTCACACACACACACTCAGCCTTATCTTTTCTCAGCTGCAGCTCCGCGTATTTCTCAGGCTGAGAAATACGATGTGTTGGATGATGTATGATTCATGATGTGTGTCTTTTGTTTGTTTGCAGGGAAACCTGAGCTGCGGGGCTACAGTCTTTCTCCTCTGTCCACTGAGGAAATCAAAGCTATTAACAGCCTCTTCAAGAGATGACTTTAAATCTCCTTACGCCTGGACATTTGTTGGAACAGAAGCCTCCTGGATGATTGACAACCCATATGTTACCCTTATCAGCTGCCTGACATTTTCATTTTCAAATATTGTGTTGCGGTCTAAACCCTACAAAAGCAAAGTTCAGACAAAGTATGTTTAGGTATTTCCCCTTTCCTCTCACTTGTGGAAAATCAGCCTTATGCTCAGCTGAGTGCTGGAAGAACATTGTGTGTGTGAACACAAAGTGATGTTGTGTTGTCTGCTGTGATTAAATTGACAGGGCTTTTATATTGGATGTGACTGTGCAGTAGTACCTGGTGCTGTAGAGCAGATAGTGTTGTTTCAAATTGTCACTTAAAGGTGGGGTAAGTAATTTTGGAGAAAGCAGCTCGAGTGCGCTAGAATTAGAAAATACACAGCCGGAAGAAATCTGCCACTTCCTCACAGAGCCCCTCCTCCAACACACAGGAACGCGCACATGACCAATGAGGGCACGAGATAAGTTTGTGCACAGATGGAAGGCTGACAGGCAGGTAGGCCATCCAGTTACTTTAGCCGGGCCGGCTCAGATGATTGGTCGTGCTTTTTACAGCACTACGGCTTCCACAGATGACTTTTTTTAATGGATTTTTCGTCAAAGCACTTCAGATATTCATTGCTATCGGGATGTTAAGAGCATTCCATGGAATATAACAAAGTGTATCTCGAGCCGGTTTCTCAAACTTACCCACCCCACCTTTAACATATCATTTCGTGCCATATGTTTAAGGAAAACATTTGAACCTCGTGTTCTAGTTCCATCACTCAAGTCACCTATGATAACATTGTATTCTCCACGAACATGCACAAATCCAAAGATGATGCCACACATGATATAAAGGAAATAAACCACACACACACACTGTTAACTAGGGCTGTAGCGATACACAAATCTCACGATACGGTACACGATATTCAGCTCACAATACGATATATATCACGATATTCAGCCAGATACGATTCTATATAATTCGATACACTTATATAATTTTCTGAAAGATTTTAAAGGGACAGTGTGATTTTGGTGACGTCTTGAGTGTTCCATTGACTTGGATTGAATTGATTCAACTGAAAACTGAAAGCATCAATTATACAATATATGGCTCTGACAGAGAGTCTACAGCTTGCAAATGAATCAAAATATGTGGTGAGAAAATTAGTTTCATTTATTGAAACAGTGCAAACTGTAGCTTACAAGCCTTTGAAACGTAAGTACATAAAGTGCAGTATCACAATGGAGAATTAAAAGGTGCAGCAGGTGGCGGAACACGGGGGATTTGAATGGGACTTGTTAGAAATTAAAATCAATGTTTTGATGGCATAAAGTACCTTAAAGATACCATCAGTTTAAATGCTGTTTTATACTGAAAAACCAGAAGTTCTTGTGCACAACCAGTTGTTAAGCTTTTATTCTGAAAATCCTTCATCTCCGGTTAGCATTTAGCATGTGGCTAATATACCATTTACTATAGAGGTGAATTTAGTAGCGATATGACACGGAGTGTTGCACACCGAAACCTACTGATTTCAACACTACAACTATAGACAACGAGATATTATTATTGCTGAATATTAAATGAAGGTACAGTTTATTTGAATACGTTTGTTTACAGACGTGGGTAGCATGAGACAACATTCGGAACTACCGGAAATTATACCAGCCGTGAGGTCTTTTTGGAGTATTGATTACAGCGTTTAAAATGTATTAAATGAAAAGTCATGAAAGAGATAAGGAGGAGAAAATGCGTGTTTAGTTATATATTTAATGTACAATGTCTGAATCCTCGGTAATGCGCAACAACGAACAACAACCGGCCCACAGGGATCAGCCAGCAGAGGATATTTAACAGCTGGAAAGGTGGAGCTCGCTCTCTTCCCTTCACTCACGAGAGCCAGAACACAGCTGTTTTTCTGACTGAACCATCTTCTGCTTGTAACATTACCGCGCTTTTTATTAATTAAAGTATACATTTGAACCTTCTCAGAGACTCAATTAGTCTCCTTTTTAAAGCTTCTCTCCTGGACGCGAGAATAACGAATACAGTTATCAGACTTAATGTATGCGGCTGAATGTATCGATACTTTCTCGGAAAACTAAATATCGATATATATATCGCAGGATCGATTAAATTGCACAGCCCTACTTAACTAGAGTTCACACACTGTTTCCATATGATCTACAACTTTAAAAGTACATTAAATAAAATCTGAATTATTGTTTCACATTTGGAATTCTGTCCACATTTCAGCAGTTTCTCCTACTACAAATGTCACCTAAAAAATACACATAGTACACTTAGAGGCAACCTGTAAAATATGCTTTATTTGTCTCTTCCAACTCAGTTTGTTGAAGCTGTTTGCCTTATTGACAACCTGTCTCACTGACTGCTCATGTTTCTGTGCAAATTGACCTATTTCAAGTTATTCCAACATAACCTGAAACCAAAGCTATGAAGATGAAACTTCAGGCATAGTAAACTGTAGGTTCCCTGCCTACATGCATGTTGCTCTGTGGCGGACAGGAGACTGTCCTCCATTGGTTTGAGTGACAGCATTGTGTGGTTCTGTGGCCACAAGATGGCAGCACAGTACTGGATTCAGAGGCCCCCCACAGCCTTGTAGTGTTCAGTGGGTGTTTCTCAATGTCGAGGAAGGCTCCTCCAGAGCCACTATTTCAAGGATGCTACGTCATCGAGTCCCGCCGAAGGACTGTTCCAATGGCCAGCATACTTGGAATTCTACCGAAGCCGGCTTACTTCGTAGCGATACATTCTAATCCATGGATATTACATGTCACTACATGCATGCCGGGCCGCCCCTGGCCAACTTGGGGCCCCAAGCGACATTGTGAGATGAGGCCCCCCCCCCCCCCCAACCGACAGGAGTGAAAACATTTTTTTTGGAAACAAAGTAGGCTACTTTGCAAATATAATTCCTCTTTATTATTATTATCAACACTTTTTTATGCAGTGAGGTAAATGGTTGTGCATGTGTGTCGTTCAGTATGCGTTTACAGGTGAATACGTCTGCATTTCCTGCCAAATACTAGCCTCAATTTTTTTTAAATATAATTAATGCAAATAAACAACTTCTACTAATAATAATAATCATAATCAATTCAATAATATAAATACTATATTATTTTATTATAATATAGTTGTATAGTCAAGACAAAACATGCTTATGACATGCTCAAAAACTGATATTTCTTAAATCTGTATTCAAATGTAGTTCCCTCTACATAATGATCCTTGTGTTTATTTATTTGTTTGATTAATAAACACAAGTTGGAGTCCGTCAGGACCGAGGGTCGGAGGAGCTCATTTGCTTTACAGAATATTACACCCGGAAGTAAGTATTCTCTCCGCTTTGCTTGACAAACCCCATGATAGTCCTCAAGCTCTGTGATTGGAGAGTGTGCCGAGCGTCGAACAGTACTTGAAATGGGATGGAACCACGGCAGACTGTCCAAAACTGGATTTGAACGGGTCCACCCCGTCCCCCCCCTCCCCCACCCCGTCCCCAGAACTACACATGCTGGCTATTGTGTTTCGCAACCGTTCGCAACCTGTTCTATGGCACGTCTCTACTGGGAGTTGTAGTTTTAAAAGACGTTTTCGTATTTCCCATACGAATAAGTGGCCAGTATTAAACTGTGTACATCCCTGGAGGTTTAGGGGATAGGAAACACTCAAATGTAAAACATATAATTAATAAATGGGTGAAAATTGCTTGTGCCCATAATGGGTAGCATTACCCACATGCCAGCTAAGGTCAGAAGAGCTTTATTTAACAGCTGGTCTTATGTTTGTGACCCCTCCTGTTGTTCATTGATAAGCCTGAAACATGCACTTGTCAAGGTTCAGAGGCACATTTTGCAAATATGGCAGTAGCCATCGATCATCTTAAGATAAGATATACTTTATTGATCCCAAGTTGGAAACATTTGCGTTACATCAGCATGTGTAACAGTTGTAAATATGCAGTGGTGTTTATTTGTAAATCATTTAGTATAATCACACACATTCTGTGTTTTATATTTAATAATTCTGTGTTCTTTATTTATTGAATGTTCAATACCTGACAAGGCCGGAGATGAAAAACTTTGGTCACAGGTTCCTCAACAGTGCATTACAAGACATCTATCAATATGTGTGTAACTCCACCATTAAACTGTCGTATTCTGCACATTTCTTATACTTTCTACATACATCTTATATAAGAGTATAATGCATATGTATAATATCAGTTAAAATAAGTGCTTCAACATAGTTAACATTGCTGGAGGTATACACAAAGTTTTTCATTCATTGCATAACTACACCGTAGTTGTGTATATGATATGTCAATACACCTTAGGAAATCTTGAAAGGGATGTGCAAAATAGTCATTACAGTCTTTAATTAACTATTAGTAGAGAATAACGAGTAATGAATATACTTTATAGGGATCCTATTAATATCTAATAATAAAAATAATGAAATTCAATAACATGCTTTAACCACTAGGTGTCCCTTTATATCAGCTGTGCACCTTTATGGTGTAAATACAGCCAATCTACCAATTGGATCAAATATAAAAGTCAGCCGAATTAGTGTTGATACTGCAAGGAGACGTATTGTGTGAAAAGAAATGTAAGATGTTGTTTAATGGCTGATATATTTATGATCCATGTCACGTTTTCAGTGTTGGCGGCAGTTCCTCATGTTTGTCGAGAAGTCTTCTCATCAGGGCTCTATAAATAGAGAACTACGGCAGATATGTAATATGTAATGCAGCCGAACCGTGTATTACAATGCCGTTATGTGATGACCTCCAAAGAGAAAAGCAAGCAGACTCAGAATAAAGTGTTTTCGGTCTGTTTCCGGTATTTGTTTATGACGATGTGATGTGAGACTGGAATTGCACAGGGGAAAATAACGTATCTATCAGTGGCGAGCTGTCAGGTCCCTCTAGGCCCTCTGTGAGGGCCTAAGATATTCTAAAACATAATATTTGAAAACATAACAAAAAACGTTTTTAAAAAAATATTTGTTGTTAATATTAATATTTGTTGTTACATTTTTCATTAGTTTTACCAAAATAACTTGATTTAAATGTATTTAAAATAATATTTCCAAAGAAATAAATCCTTTGAATCTGCCTGTTCAGTTTCTGTTGGAATGTGAACGGTTAAATGCCGTCTCTGCGAGTTATGTGAAGACGGGAGGGCTTGTTGGTCCCTCTCTACATTCACAGAGGGCAAGATTTTAGCTG